AGAAAGAAGATGTGAAGTGATGGTTAGTTTAAATTATGTAAGTGGATGAATAACGAATTAAAGTTGATGTGATGTGTAATAATGATTGATTTATACTAAAAATATTGAGTATAGTGGAATTGAGTTAAAGTTGAGTAAAATTTTGAGTATGGATTGAAAAAATTTATAAACAAACACATCCTAAAAGTTTCATGAGGCAACCTTCTTGGCTTAAATGTCGCCTCCTAACACTTTAACTTGATAAAAAAATGAGCAAAAATCATGCTATCAAAACTAAACTTTTTTTTTTTCCTCTCAGTTTCGCCAAAAGCCAAAATCATAAATAAGTGAACTCCTGAAAAATGCACATAAACAATTTACCTTAGAAGTCTTCCCTGCAGCAGACGGTGAGGAGATAGAATCAGAAGTTAATCAGACCATAATAGCTGATAAACTTTCACTATGAGAGTGGTAAGACCATAATAGTGTACTAAAATCACATAGAAAAATGAAATAAATTAGACACTGAATCATGAAATTCTCGATTATGTCTACCACCTAATGAACTGCAAGTGATTTAAGTTGCGAACTTTCAAATAGGACAGCATGTCAAAAGAAATCTCGAGTAATGCGTGAGCATCCAAGAAATAAAAGCCCGCATTTGTTATTATTATTATTATTACTATTATTGTTTATTTATTTAGTTTTTTAGAGGGAGCCAGGTGTACTTCATTGCTGAGAAATTACACAGATATACGCTCTCACCTTTTCCTGTGCTGATGATTATAATCATCAGCAAGCTAATCTGTAATTGACAGAATAATTATTTTGTGCAGAACTAGCAATTACTGTAAACATAAAAGTTATGTCACATTCTATTGTTCTCATCATCAAGAAACTCTACACTTCAAGCTATGAATATAAGCAACTAAAAATTCCCAAATTATTGCATAACTATCCTCATAGCATCTTCAATACTTCATAGTTAGAATAATGCTACTCTGAAAAAATGTATTAGACATAATGGTCGACATAAATGATGTGTACGTATTTGAGTAGTTGATTTTAAAAGTGATGCGACGTGTCAAAGTTTATGTTTGTGTAGCATAGCCCTCATAGTTATCATATGAAGAGTTGAATACAAACGCGCACTAGGTGAATGATATTTTATACGATGAACTAAGCGTGTGTAATACCAACTCAAATGGAAACCTCTCCGACAAAATAAAATTGTAACACAGTTATATGTTTTCAGAAAGAGAAAGAGAGAGATCATACTATAACGAAGGGTGCCTATTTACTAACAGAACTCTGTATGGTCCCACTAACTGAAGACAAAAGAAACAAAAGAAAAAAAGAAAACGAAAAAAAGAAATCACCTCCTTTTTCCCTGCGAAAACCGGGAACTGGTGGAGCAGTGCGTGCTAAACTTCTCAGTATCTTCTCAAACACTATCTGGGTGTCTTCCCCTGACACATCCACCCTTACCTGACACGGGAAGTTTTTGTTCATGTTGAATTAAGAGAAAATCGAGGCCAAATTTTCCATGGTTTTCATTTCATAAGATTTGAGCATACAAGGCTCATGCATGCTGGTCATTAAATGACGTTGTTCCACCAACACTGATATTAAGAACTAAACAACGTCGTCTAGGCTTATAGTTCATAGTTGTCACTAAACTAAAAAAGACGCGTTCATCAAACAAAACAAAAAAAAAAACAAAAAATGGCTTTTTTAACAGAAATACAAAAAAGAAATACTACGGCATTAAATTTAATACTAAAGCTCGTCCGCTCCAACAGTCCAGAGAAATCAAATAGTGCATTTGCAAGTAACCCTCGTAAGAAACTTAACATCTTATGAATTCAGAGTTCCTGGCATGAATGTAACCAAATATGTGTCATTAATCCACGGCACTTCACATTTTTCTCATTCTAACCCCAAGCAAGAATCACATTCCATGTAAAAACAAATATAAGAGAAACATAAATGTGAATACATGTTTTCGCACATTTGCTAACTAACAAAAGTTTTGAAATATTTAAATGAAGCTTCAAAACATTATGCATTGACTAAGAAATTTGATTTGTCATCTAGTAATCAGTTAGCCAGCAATGAAAAGGATTAGAGACAGGCAAGAGGAATCTCACTTGCATCTTATCGTCATCCTTGGACTCGACAACTACCTCAATATCTTTAACTGTAATCAATTTCCCTTTTGGATCAGTAATTGATGCCTCCAAGCCTGCATTCACACATGAGCTTACTCTCCATAAAAAATCAAATAAACAAACAGTGTGCAGAGCTCATAATTCACATAACCCATCAGATATTACCTGAACCAACAGCCGATACGGGCCGAAGCAAAGCTCCAGTGCCCGCATTTGAAGATCTACAGTAACTCAGTGAGCTGAAACTCGAGATGTATGCAAAATTCAACACACGAAAAACCGAATCACACGAGAAACCGAAATATGACGCTGTAATCGGATAACACGCAAATCGCTATGCTAATTTCTTCACAAAAAACAAATAAGTAAATAGCCCTAAAAATTATCTGCCATGATTAGTTGATTACGTACCTCAACCGAGCAAATTTTGCAGCGGGGTAAAGGCTCACGCAGAGCAAACGACTGTGTGCTCCGACACCGCTAGGGAGGCTCCCGACGGCGACCTGCTGCGGAGAGTAACGCGAAAATTCATGCGCCTATTTCAGAATGAGTTAAGCTCATACACCAAAATTGGATTTGTGAATATTTAATCGAATGAGCAGCACAATGCAAACGAAAATATATATATGCGAGGTCAAGAGAAGGTATGGATGAATTATTACGTAATTTAATCGATGAGTTGCAGACGCCATAGCCATAGTTCCCATCAGGAGTGGATGAAGAAGATAACATAACAAAATTGTTCAAATGACTCAAAATATAAAAATAAACTTAATGAAAATCCCCCTATAAATTAATTCAGAACGCGATGAGCCTACGTGGCTGCTTCTGGTGCTTCAGAATCATATATGATAAAATTACATGCTAGTTTGGGTAAATTTTAATTTAATTCCAAACAAAAAATAATTAGGTTGGGATTACCATAAATATGTTTATTATTTATGGTCATGTTACATGTATTAATTGCATTTTAACAGTATTATTCTTTATTATAACTATTGAATTGTATATATATTTTAAAAGTTAATAACTTTTGTATTTTTTTATCAGTTTTACATATGTAATATTTCAAATTAATCTTCTTTTGATGAGCTTCGATTTAACATCCATATTGTATGTATAAAAAATAATTTATATTTATCTTTATAGCAATAATAAATGTTATTTTTAATATTAATTAGAAAAATAAAATTATTTATCAACTAATATATTTATATTTCAAGTAGTTATATGATATAAGTTATAAAAACTAATATAATATAACACATGTAAGTCATAAGTAACACATATCATTCTAAAATATATAGTAATATTTTTTTTTATAAAAAAGTAAACTAAATTTAATATAGTTTTCTCATTAATTTTAAAATTTAAGAATAATTTTTTAACAAGCACCCGTGTAATACACGGGCGTTGTACTAGTTAATATTGAAAAGTCAATTAATATTGAAAAGGACGATGCTACGGTCCCGTTACGGAACCATTCCGTCGGGGTTTGTAACCGTTAGATCAACTATCTCTAACGGTTACATGATGATTTAACGGTTACGAACCCTGACGGAATGGTTCCGGAACATTAGCATTTTCCACTAAATGAAAATTAATATTGAAAAGTCCAATTACTGATATACCCTTAATAGAATCTGCTCTAAAATATCCTTCATTCTTCTTTCACGCCATTCTTTCTCGCCCCTCTCTCTCCTTCAATTTCTTTCTTTCGCCGACGACTCACTTTCATTGCTTCGCTTCGCCTTCTCCGGAAAACGCTATGGTAATGTAATTCTTTTCACGCAAAATCTCATGATCCACACACCCAATAATCTGTTTTAGGGTTCTGTAATTTGAACCAATTCAAGCCATTAAACAATTTTGTGGTTGATTTTGTTTTTGTTTTTTTTTTTTTTTGCATACTATTTGATCTTCGTCTCGTCTGAGCTGCACGGCTCTGGATTCCACACTGGGCTGCGTTTTCTCCTAATTTTGTTACTGTAAATGTCAATTTGCTGATTTGAGGTCTAATAATTCTGATAATTGCTTGAATCGAGTTGTGTGTTCGTCAATTATCTGATTTGAGCTGTAATTGGTATTTTAACTCTGATAATTTCACGCATCGAGTTGTGTATTTAGTGAGAATGTTATTAACTTGTAACGAAAATGAAAAATCTCGGGGATTGGCTAATGCGTCTTTGTTTCGTGTGCTCGTGTTCCTGCTCATCTGTTAATCTGTATGGCTCATGTGCATTTTCTGTCTGCATAGTGAAATAGCTTAGAAACTGCACATGTAGTTTGTTGAATAAAATGATAATCGTTGGTGTTCTTCAACTAAAACAGTGTTGAAGTTTTATTGTAGGTACGTTTACAGCCTGATCCTTTCCTCAATGAGCTCACCGGCATGTTCGAACGGACTACAGAAAAGGGTTCTGTGTGGGTTACGTTAAAACACTGTGAGTTTTTTCTTTCCTAACTGTATGTATCAATTTTCTTGATAAATGTTTGATGTGATCATATGCTTAGAATAGACGATTTTTATACTTGATGCCGTGTTCTGTTAAAAATTGAAAAAGTTTTGTTACGTCATTTCAAGCATCTGACAAGTCCAAGGTGAAAAGAAATAAGATGAAGACAGCTGGTGAGAAGATCGAGTACAAGTGCCTCATTCGAGCTACAGACGGGAAAAAGACCATCTCGACCATGGTATACATTCCTGCACACCGCTGCATTTTATGCTTATCTTTTCTATATGCGACTCATTCTATGGAGAATGACAAAGAAGTCAGAACTGTAGAAAGTGAAAAATGCTTAAATCTTAACTGCTAATTAAGTGAATGCATTGTTGTTAATGTAATGACTCTGTGATGTGCCAATTTCATTTACTGTTATGAGGTAGGTATATTGTGGGTACATATATATAAGAATAAAGCTATGTTGACATAAAGCTTTAACATAAAGGATGACCAAATTTATGTTTATGAGTGATGAGATGTGTAAAGTAATAAGGTTGTGACACGTGTCATTATGTCTAACTGTATATCATCCTTTATGTTAACTATAGCACGATTCTATGTATAATATTAGTTTACGCTACTAGTTAATACATACAACTATACAAGAGTGACTTGAATTATTCTCATTCTTAGTTTTTGTTCTAATTCAAAATCTGGAGACACT